TTAATTTTTAAAGACATTTCCAAACTATTATCCAAAGTGGTTGTCCAACTTCATGAAGTCCAACTGTTTAATTTTATTATCATTTTTTTTACTCTTATAAATTGTTCTTTGATATTATGTATAAGATATTTTGGCCTAACCCAAGATCACAAAGAATCATTTCCATAAATTTCGTTTTCAGTTTTGAATGTATTTTGAGTTACTTTATATTTTCAATGCCTTATCTTTTATTTCTCTCGGCTATATTATTTGTAGGTGAGTTTTGATAGATCAATGGGTTAGTCTCCTTTTAGGCGGCATTTTCCTGCTTCTTTGGATACGTAGCAGTTTGTGATTGGATTCCAGATGTTGTGCATTTTTCCTTTTGGGTGCTGAATATTCACATATTTCTATAAGTAATCTTAAGCTTTGTTCTGGTTCAGTCGCCTAAAAAGAGTTTAATACTTTCAGAGCTCCTTTTAAGTTTTAGGAACCCCTTCAAGCTCACTGCTTGTTGGCAAATTCATTTCCTTGAGGCTGTATGTCCAAGGTCTCCATTTTCTCATGAGCTGTCACTCAGGAACTGCTTTCAGCTTCTACAGGTCACTCACACTTCTTTGCCACGTGGTTCCCACACACAGTCCACAAGACAGCTGTTTGCCCTCTTCCGGGCCAGGAGGAGAATGTCTCTCTGATTGTGTATTCTTTTATAAAAACCTCGTCTCATTATGTCAGGCCTGCCTTGATAATCTCCCTTTGATGAACCCAAAAGGGACGCATAATTATACCTGCAAAATCCCTTTTGCCATATAAGGTAACATGTTCGAGGCAGTAATATAACATCCTATTCACAAGTCCCTCCTACATCAGGAGGAAGGGATTATACCAGGATGTGGGTCACAGGGGGTTATCATAGAATTCTGCCTAAAACATTAATGTAAAAGCTAGTTAGCTGGAAAGGAAAATCTTAAGATTTTATGATAGTAAATGTTCAAACTACAAATTTCCAAATTTACACATAGAATGGAAAGTTTATATCAGTATAAATTCTCAGGGAGCTGATAGATTTAGGAGGGCAATGTGCATCTTTGTTACACATGCTAAATGGCAGATGTGCCGACTTCCTTGCTACCTAAAAGATTAAAAGCTTCACTGAAACCACCTGTGGTTTTGGACACAGAGCTGCCAAGAGGCACCAAAGGGATTTCTCAGCCAGACTCTTAGGGGGAGGGATAGAGTTAGATGAAAATTATGATTGTTTCATTCTACCTCTTCAAGTTTACATTAAAAAAAAATAAGGTCTCACCATTGCTTACAGAATAAATTCCAAGCCCCTGAATCTGGAATAAAAGCTTTCCATGACTTTCTTGGCCCTGCCTTCCTGTTTCTGTTTCATGTCTATAACACACACAAGGTTTCATAGTTAAACAATCACACTCTTCTAGTCTGCATAGATACACAAAGTTCCCTTCTGTACCCTGTTCTACTTTTACTTACAACTCATATGATGAATTCCATTCACTGTTTAAGATCCATTTATTCATTTAACAGATATTTATTGAGCACCTACATTCATCAACAAACTGTTAAGGCTTCACCTCTCCCACAAAGCAGGGCTGCCCCTGCTTTCTCTTTTATACCAAAACTTTAGTCAGTGCAAAAATCTATCACTACGCCTGTTGTCTTATGTTTATATGTTCATACCCCAATTGTGAATACCTTGAAGAAATGATTCCAGTTACTTGTTTATATTTCTAGGACTACTTCAGGGCTTGTTACAACTCATCAGTCATGGTTTGGTGAAAATAGTAATAACTACAATAACACTTAAAATACATAGTTATCCCTTGTACTGCAAAAACACTTCATACATATTGGCTCATACGAACATCCTTGCAACAGCACTTTGAGACTATTCTAATCCTCACTTAGTAAATGAGAAAACTGAAGTTCAGAGACAGAAGCAAGACTTTTATGAAAGTTGCTGATGCTCCTCAACTTTCTGTTCTCTATACCAGTGTGGTGTCCAGACGGAGCATCAGCATTGCTCAGATATTTCACGCAGTGTTAAACATGCATGTTCTCAGGTTCCACCCCAGACTTATTCAATCAGGAAATCTGAGGTCAGGGCCCTATAATCTGAGATTTAACAGGTCCTATAAATGGTAATGATTCCTGCCAAAGTCTGAGAACCACCGCTGTGTAACCTAATATAGAAATGTCCTAGCCAATAAAATGAGATCAGCTATGACTTTCAAACAACTGTCACCCAGAAACTTGGAAATTAAACTCATATGTTAGACAATTATGGAGAAAAACCAAATATTTGTACAGAAAAATGATTCAGCCTGGAATCAGAAGTCACTTTGAAGGTCTATATGTCCATCATATAGAGTCTGAAACCTAATACAGTGTCAATATGCTGAACTGGCCAATGCTTAGTTAAAATACTTGAAAATAATCTTTTCCCTTGACTGTAATAGCTGCTTTGGGATTTATATCATGTCATACATTCCTCTTTATAAGAAAATATTCTCCATAACTTGTTTTATCTCTCCAAAGACATCTTAAACATCTCCAGGTCAAGGCTCTTGTTCTCTTCATTGGGATCTTTGCTCATGCACCATAGAATGCATTACAATTGGGAGAAATTTTAACAAGTTTTTCTTCAATGGAATTGGATTGGACTCAATTAGCCCATCTTTTCCTGCTGCTTTACATTAGAGATTGTCTTTTTAAAAAGTGGAAAGTGATATTATAGTAAAAATAGTTAAATGGTTATAGGAAGTTAAATTTTGATCTCCGAAAAGACAAAATAGTGGAAGGTAAGTATGGAGCCCTCCTTTCAGTGAGCAGTGTTTGCTGAGGGATTTGAGAGTGAACTTGCATTTGGCACACCCTGAGGACAGCAACAGGAATGAATGTTCACTCTGTGCAGAGTACTGCACTCCACATATTTGCATATACACTTATACTATAAAGTATAGACCACTCAGGAAGTTCACCGTCTGGTTGTGAAGACAAACTAAGCCAACATGCAAAAGAAGAGTTATAAACAAATAAATAGCTATATAGATGAAAGCAAGTGCAGGGATAATAAATGCTCTATCAGCAGCCATACACTGGAGAACATAGGGAAAAGGGATACTTCTCCACTTCCAGATGCAGCATGGAATCATTCACCGATTCTGGATGCTGTTTGGTCGTGACTTTTGTTCTAGTCTTGATTCAGATGATTTTAAAGAATGATGTTTATAAGATCAAGCTTTTCCTGTTTTTACATATAAACAAAAGTCTCTTCCAGACCTTATATGATCGAATCTGTTTGGCCTTCAGAGCAGAAGCCAAATTTGTCCAAAATTAAGAGATTTCATGAAAATATGAGTACCTCATAGGCTTCTCAGAAGGCTGTGATGTTAAAAACAGTCAATCGATATTAATGAAGCATCTAGTATGCTAGTCTCTGAACTCTCTGAGGATATAGAAGACAAACACTTGAAACACAAATAAAGTGCTGAGAAATTGAGAGGAACAGATAAACCAAACAACTAAATAACTACTCATGTCAGAATTAAGAAAGCGATACATATAAGTAATAAAACAATTCAATTGAAGGAGAGTTTTTAAGAGCATTCTAGAATAAACCAAGCCCTTCACACAGAAGGACACATGTGTTGTGTAAGGATTCCCTGTCTGGAGCATTCTTAGAGGCCAAGGAAATGGGATTTTAAACGTATCCTGCAGTTTAGGTCTTTCCATCAGGAACACTTAAGTAGAAAAAGTAGCCAGATCAGACCCTTGCTGTAGTAAGATAGCTCTGGAAGCTGTGTAGGGGGTCCAAGTACGGAAGATCTAAGCAAGTCCAGACAAGCCAAAACAAACACATCCTGAAGACAGAGTTGAATGGACATCCCAAGCCCTGGCAGAGTGTACAAGCAAGTTTAACGGTACCCTGAAAGTTTAACTGACCCTAGCAAAGTGTCTAACTTGTGACTTGGGGGCTTGTATTTCTCCACATTTTGTCCAATAAAATGTATTTATTAGAATTTCTGAAACAAAAACTTAGTGATTAGGAATAAATTATAGACAAGTCTCTATTTTGGGAAAAAACATACAGAGAGAGTAACTAAAATAGAAAAGAGAGAGAATAATTGTATAAAGTTATATTTTTTCAGTAATATAGGGAATCTTATCTGTTGAGCTTGAATGCCCACTAGTAAGAATTATTGTTATTCCGATATGAAATATTAGAATTACAAGTTAAAATAATCAGAATGGTGTGCAGAAATGTATCTTGTAGAAACTTCCTTTGAGAATAATACATCCTGCCATGCACAGCGGAGACATTTGTAACAATCATCAGAAATAATTCTTATACTTGGATTTTAATGTACATGTGACATCAGGTATGCGGGGTAAAAAAAAAAAACCCTACTACTAAGCTTACTAACCACCTCCCCTATAAACTCATTTCCCTCTAAAAATATGTGTGAGAGTGTGTGTGTTCACATATAAATATATGAAATAGAGAGAAGCATATTTTTTGCCCCCTATGAGAGCTACTAGGAATCAAATTTATTGATGTTTAGCCAATTTTATTCCCAGAACTTTGTAATTCCAGAAACCAACAAGTTGAAGAAATAATTCACGGAGTTTCTCTGTCTATAATCTACATACGGTAGATGAATTCTGAAACAATAACATCTAACATGTAGTCTTACGATTGTAAAGCATGAATCTGTGTGTCTTTTATATGTTAACTCGTTTATTCCTCCAACTTTCTCATGAGGTATATATTGTTTTTAGACCTGTTTTACATAAGAGGGAACGGGCCATACAGAGATTATATGAATACACCTTGGAAAATTACCTAATTTAAAAAAAATGGGCAAATCTGGTTCAAATTACACTTGATCATAAAGTGTATGATTTGAGAAAGCAAACGTAAAATGCCCTGTATCTGACCCTTTATGCTAATTTCAGCATATTCATTTTGATTGACGGCCTTTCCTCATTCTTACCTTTAATCTCCTTGTCGTTCTTGAACCATCTGATATCAGCCGCAGGTTTACTACCAGACGTTTTGCAGGTCAGCTGCATCAAGTCCCCCTCCATCACTGGGGAGGAGAATCCGCTGATCTGAGGCTTCTCCGGAACACCTGAAAGTTAAGCAAACGAATGACGTGGACATCCATCTCCAGGGCTGATTTGTTCCTGTGACTACGGCTTTCACAAACCAAGCTGAACTGGGTGGTTAACTGACAGTAACTTCAACCAAGAATAACAAACTGCTATATCATAAAATAAACTGCTTAAAACATATGAAAATATATAGGTAGGTATAGATATATATATCCACACGATATATATATATGTATCTATACATATGTGTGTATACATATTTATATAATATATTAAATATATGTATTCCAGAGAGCATTTAAAATGCATTTAGTTCAAAGTAGTTTTTTAAATTAAATTTTATCTGCAAAAATACCCTTGTAAGTCTTAAAAATAACCATTCAGTATATCTTAAGATTTACTGGTATAGAGATTTAAGAAGGTAAATTGTTTGCATTGGGGGGAAAAATCCAAAAGTACATTTCTTTATTCTTTAGCAAACTGTGATTTAACTAAAATAGCACCTTTCATTCCTGATGTCATAATTCCTAAAGATTAAAACGATATTATCTTCTGTGTACTTTATTCAAGGAAATGCATTTTGGAATAACAGAGTCATCAATAATTGCAACTACACTTACTTTTCTGATTCTTCTAAAGTAGAGAATGTCTCTTGTCATCTGTTTTAGAAACGAAATTGTAGTTTTGTGGAACACGGTACGTATTATTTTTAATGCTAACCACTGATTATCCTTTCTAGTCCAAATCATACAATAAATAAGCAGATTAGTAATATGTAGAGATAGAATATGGGTAATTTAAATAATAGAACATTACACATTTCTTGGGCAAAAATATTCTGTTGTCATGGTAGAGTTTATTAAAATTTCTTCTAAAATTATTCAATAATAAAGGCAGACTGAAAGCTTTGTTATCGTACTATTTAATTCAGTTTGAAAAGAATAAAATATGAGAATGTTGAAAAGCATCAATAAAAGAAATAAAACTTAAAATAACAAGAATAGCCAGGAAAAACAACAGATCAACATACTCTGATTAGCTGGCTAATTTTTTTTTTTCTATTCACCTTTATAGTGTCCTTTTTGTAAAAAAAAAAATCTATGCCACACCATCATTTAATAAACTAAAATTAGCCAGTTATCTATTCTTGTACTCTCAAGGTGGCTCTCTACAGAACAATACATTAACCTTAGGCAATTGTTATCCTGAAATACTTCATTTTTAGTGGGTATATTTCGTCCTTAACGGCAAGCTTGTGAAGATTTTTATAAAATAGTCCCTGTGGGACTTGCAAAGAAACATATTTCATATCTTATGTGCAAAACCAATTCACTAGCTGGATTAACTTTAATATTCCCACCCAAAAGAACAGAATGCATCCGTTCTTCTCAATGCAGTGTTATGCCTTTATCTATCAAAAAAGGAAGGCAGGCTAGGGGCAAAAAAAAATCAATCTTTAAATTCCTGTAACTTGTTCTGTACACAGGTGTGTTTCAATGAAATGCAGCAATTTCAGCTGATTGGGCCCGTGACGTCTGTGGAATCCCAGAGAGCTCTGAGCTGCAACTTTATTTCCTTGGAATCTCTATAAATATATTGCTTTTTTGTGTCACTTTAACCTTGCAGAAAATGGCCCAATATTTCGAGAATAAAAGCACAAAGAAGCTACAAACTGCGTGCACAAGTGATATTATGTACTTCATTTAGGAATCTAGAAAATTACAAAGTCAAAAGGTGAGAAGACACAAAGAAATGTCAGGGTCATTTAAATGCGCTGAAATACACAAAGTTCATGTTTGAAAGCCGTAAGAGAGTAGAGAAGGCCCCCATCAGGTGACTACTATGATAAAATGGAGGAGTACTCTACAGACACATTGAATTCTTTATGCTCATTATGCTATCACTTTGTAAAAGGATCACCCTATACACAATCTATAGATAATTTGATACAAAAGGATTCGTTGAAAAACAAGAAATCTGGTGTCTATTGCTGGCTAAGGAACAAAATGGCTGTGTGCTCTTGGGAAGTCATACAAATCTTTATACTTCCCTTTGTCTGTTTATAAAATGCAGAAGATGACTAAGTGATTTTTGAATGCCTCTTGTCATAATGTAGCAGAGAAGGGATTAAATTACATCTATTAATAGGATTCTCAAAATGCATATGTGTTATTGAATCACGTTGCTATAGCAGAAGGCATCTCTCTGGCTTGTGACTGCACAGTGTTAGCCCCTTGCACTTACCTAGAACAGTGAGATAGGCCTTGGAAGTTTTGACAGGCATTGTAAATAAAGAACAGGTGTACTGTCCTTCATCGGAGAGAGACACATCACTGACGCTGATACTCAATTCATGCCAGGAAGCCCGAACCAGCTCAATCCTATTGTCCCTTAAAGCTGGGAAGAGAAAATATTGAAAATGCAATAACAACATTAGAAAAGTCAGTACTGTTAGTTTATATATTTTTAGCACAATAAACATTTTCTTTGGGCACACATCTAATTCTTATTTCCTGAAACAATTTAAAGGACAGTTTAAATATAGTGAAATATTTTATCAGATTTTTTAAAAGTCAAAGTAGAATTAGGTGCTCCTTAATGTTCTCAGAAATAACTTTTTAATTAAATGATTGCATCTCATATAATACTCTGGATGATGTAGACGTTGATGGTGATAAGAACAGCTTTCCTCCACATCTTTCATGGAATGCTAGTGCCAAGAAAATCTATAAACAAAAGGGTTCACTTCTATGGCTGGATAAATTTGGGAAAACTGCGGCAGCTGTCTTCCTTCTAAGAGACCAACAGCGAATATTAGCATACTAAAAGCTCTCTGCAGTAGAGACACCTGTTGAACTTCATTTAAACCAGAGCTGACATTCAACTGTAAAGCACCTGCAAAGTCCTGGATGCTGAAATTTTCTCTGATTGGCTTGTGTCTCTGCTGTATTGTCTGTTAAATATTTTAATGTTCTTTGGTTCAAACCACCTTTTATATCACAGAACATTTGTTTTCACAGGAGGACTCTTAGTATCTTGATGACTTATGCTCCTTTTGGACAAAAACAGCTAAAGTTTAAAGATCATTATACACCCCACTAACTACAGCTACAAAGCCTGAAATTAAACAAGATGCAGCTGAAGAATTACTCTGGAAGGTAGAAAGAGTAGGGAGGACTGGTTAGGGACACCAGGACCTGAAGAGTAACACAGTGGCTCCCCAACCAATAGTAAAAGGTAATGCAGGCCTGGCTTCTCCTAGTCACAACCTAGCAACAGAAGGAGGCGAGCTAGAAGAATTTTTTTGCTGACAAATGGGAGCCCCGCCAGCAACATCAGGAGACAATGGCCACCAGCAACGGGAGTCAAGTGGGAACATCGCTGACAACAAGGGTCCATGGAAAGCAATCTCTTTCCCATGGGGCTGGAGACTCCTCTTCCCTACTAGAGACACTGGTCTACTGGGCAACATGGGCAGCAGGCTGATCCCTCTATAAGCACCCAGCCCTGGAAGTGATCTTCCCTTGAGCTAGAGAACCTCTTATCCCACCTAGAGCCACCAGGGAGCCTGGCCTAGTGAAGTTCCTCTATCCCTTAGGTGGTGCCAGTAGACATCAGTGTAACCCTCAGTGAAACTAGACAACTCACGCTGACCAAAAGCACCATAAAGGCTCTGAAAATTAAACTTTTGGTGGAACCAGGCCTGCAAATGTAAGCTAGGACGCAAGCACTAAACCCAAACAGGATGACTCCCTCCCAGAATAGAAGATTTAAATAGGATCCAGGGTCTCCTAACAGAATAGCTAAAATGTCCAGGATATAATAAAAAGAATCACAAGTCACACCAAATATGAGGAATATCATAACTTGAATGAGAAAAAATAACCAACAGATGCCAACACTGAGTTGAAATGGATATTGGACTTATCTGACAAAGAATTTAAAGAAGCCATCATAAAAATACTTTAACAAGCAATTAGAAATTATTTTGAAACAAATATAAAATAGAAAATCTCAGCAAAGAAAAAGAAGTCATAAAAAAGAACCACAATGGAAATTATAGAAATAAAAAACACAGTAACCAAAGTAAAAACTCACTGGATTGGCTCAACAGTACAGTGGAGATGACAGAGGACAGAATCAGTGAACTTAAGGACAGAGAAATAGCATTCACCCAATCTGAACAACAGAGAGAAAATAGATTGTAAAAAACAAAAACAGAGCCTCAGGGACCTGTGGGACAGTAACAAAATATCCAACATTGGTACCATATGAGTTCTGAAGAAGAGAGAGAGTGGAGGTGATGGAGTATTTGAAGAAATAATGGTTGAAAATATTGCAAATTTGGCAAAATAAATAAATGTACAGAATCAAGAAGATGAGCAAATCTCAAAGAGGATAAACCCGAAGAAGTTCATATCAAGACACATCAAAACTAAGCTTCTGAAATTCAAAAACAAAGAAAAACAGTCTTGAAGCAGCCAGAGATAAAGACATAGTGCCTACAAGAGAACACCAGTTCAAATGACAATAGATTTCTTATTTATCATGGAGGCCAGAGGGAGTAGCCCATTTTTCAAGTGGTGAAAGAGAAGAATTGTCAAGAATGAATTGTTATCCAGTGAAATTAACCTTCAGGCATCAAGGGGAAATAAATATATTCTTAGAAGAAGGAAAACTAAGAACATTTGTCTCTAGCAGATCTGTCTTAAAGAAAAGCTAAAGCAAGTTTCTTCAAACAGAAAAGAAGGATTCCTGGATCATCAAGAAGGAAGAAAGAACAACTGAAAGAACAAAAATATGAGTAAATACAATACAGACTACCCTTCTTCTCCCGAGCATTCTCAATTATATGATGGCTGAAACAAAAATTGTACTATCAACTGATGCAGTTTTCAATGTATACAGAAGGAATATTCAAGACAAGTAAGAATTGGGCAGGGCAAAAAGACATAATGGAAGTGAGGTTTCCATACTTTGCTCAAAGAGATAAAACACTCCTACTAGTAGACTAAGATAAGCCACACATGTATATTTCAATACCCAGAACAACTACTTATAAAATATACAAAGTGATACTCAAAAACTCTATAAATAGGAGGAGATTGGGAGGGACATGAGTACGGTTATAAAAGGACAGCACAAGGGATCCTTGTGGTGAGGAAACTGTTTTGTATCTTTACTGTAGTGATGGATACATGAACCTACACATGCAATAAAATTGTGTAGAACTAAAGACACACACACACACACACAAATAAGCACATGTAAAACTGGCGAAACCCAAATAAGATTGGTGACTATATCAACATCAATTTTTTAGTGGTGGTATCTTTGCAAGATGTTATTTGGGTGAAAAGTATATGAGATCTCTCTGAATTATTTCTTACAACAGGGTATGAATCTACAACAAACCTCATTTAAAAAATGCTCTGCACATTTGAGGGAGTAGAGAAATGACTAAGATATCAAAGCTTAAAATTCATGTACACATTTGTCACAGAACAAGAGGGCGATCCCAAGTGCCATATATTCTTAAATTACCTGCACCTTCCCTATTTGCTTTGGGAGAGAGAGCAGGCAATTATAAAATATATAATATTCAGGAAAATTCTAAATTTTCATGATTTAAGATACATTTTAAAAAACCTTCTTCCCACACATTCAAATAACAGGTTAATGATTCCAGTCCCTCCGCTACTTTGTTTGTTAACTTGCAGGTATTTGTGAAACTGATTTTTATTGAATATAAGAAATTGTGTCTGTGACTCCATTAGGAAACAGCAGACATTTTTTTTAAATGCCTATTTCATTCTCTATCTTCTGCATGCCCTGATATATATGCCTTGTTCAGTTGCTAGAGGAAAACAGTGGGACAGAGATTTGTTATTTCCCCAATAGGACCTCGTGCTATATCAACCACTTTTCAAAGCCGTGATTTATTTAAAAAAATATTTATCACGCATTTCTTGGTTTGTAAAAAAAGAAGGCACCAAAAGGGAAAACCTCAGGTTTCTGCCATGATACTGTATGAGTAAACATGTTCCTCACCCACTGTGTTCAATTTCATTTCCTCTAACACAGGGCCCACTGACAGAGAGACAGAACTTAACAATTTTCATGAATTTTGGCAAAAGGAATCTAACTCTCTTTTTGTCAAATTTTTTTGTGGAAACTATATGATATCATTGAAGTCAAACTGAATTGCTCAATACATACAGATGTACAACTTTCATATTTAAATCATTTGCATGGAGTAAAGCTGAAAGTATTGACTTTGGAATCAAAAGACCTACTCTTGGCACTTACCTGAGTTCAGGTTTCCTGTGGATAATAATTCCTGATTTATTCCCATCTTTGGATTATGATGTGAAGTAAATGATATCATGTAGTATGTAAAGGGCTTTAAAATAAATCTACAAAGATATTATTAAAATATCTTAGGTTTGGAATCCTGATGTGAACCTTAATGTTTTAGTGCCTGACATGTCTCAGTTGACTCAGCTTACCAAATCACGTGATATTTTGGGTTGTTTTATGATCACTATCACCCTTGACTAAAAGGTAGGCTCTGAAAAGCAGAATGTCTGCATTTTAATGTAAGCACTGTTATTGATTAACCATATGAACCTAGCAAGTAGCTTAAATGTTGTGTGCCTCAGTCTGCAGAGTGTTAAGTGGCGATCATAATTAAGTGAAAGTATAAGAAACATGGTTTAGAGAACTGAAATATATGAATATATATTCAAAACCTGAAAAATTTTCCCAAGAACCAGGGAACTGACACAATTAATAAAGTGATTATTTTTTGTGTAAATTTTTTCCATAATTCATTTGCCAAAACAAAAGAGCTACCTAAGGAGATTCTCACTGGACTGAGCATTTTAAACAAATCTTGCATCCACAGCATTTATCTTTTCAAGTTTAAAATACTTATGATGACATCTGTGGTTCTCTCTATCATAGCATTTCAAATATGAAAAAATAAAGGAAAAACTGTAATAGTCCAAAGAGGGATAATATGACTCAGTGGGTTCCCTGCGAGCAGCATCCTTGTCTTGCTCATCTCAGCACCCTGCTCCATCACTATCCACACGGGAGGTATTCAGTGAAGGGCTATTGAACTGAGACTCAGAGCCAAACTCTGTCTGCAGATGATAAGAGCGGAGTGAGAAAGCACTGAACGAGGAAGTCCTCTTCAATATATCTCCACAGGCTCCCCCATGGGAGAGAAGTCAAAAAAAGAAGAAAGAAAGTGTCCCGTTTAGACCCTGTTGAGCATAAAAGAGCTAGAAACATCATGCTATGAAAATTTTTAACAAAGTGATAGTTCATTGGAAAATGATTTGAAATCCTGAATGAATGATCTCTGAAGCTATTGTCATGTTACCGTGCGG